TTGTTTTCTCCTCCAGATTGTTCATCCAGCTTATTTTACTTAGACAGACCTGCAGAGATAATAACATGCACAAAAACAAGACAGAGCAAAACCATGCAACAAAAGAAAACAAAACAACAACAAGCCAATGACAAAAAGCAAAACAAAACACAACAACAGAAAGAAAAGCTCGTAGTTAGTTCAAGGACTGTTGGTTGGCCTTTAGGAGTGTTTTCCGGTCGAGTCTGATGGGGCGCCAAGCTCTGGCCCCAAGTCTATTTTTGGTATTCCCTGGGAACTTCGTTGCTCTGTTCCCCTTGCTGTTCTGTTCCACGCCCTTAGTGCTTTGCCTCGATGTGGTGGGATCAGATCAAGTGAAATTCCCACACTGGTGACACCTTTTTTTAAGCACCCTTTTTGAACGAGTCCTTCTTAAGTAGCATTTCTCTCTGTTTTTAGAGTTAATGAAATTTGACCAAGCAGAATACGCACTCTTGAGAGAACAACATTTCAAGAGAATCATTATTCATTCCCTTTCTGGATTAACAGCAAATGGATTATGGCCATAGGTGAAGTTTACTTTTTGAAAAAGCAACTTCAGAGACGTACTTGAATTTGGGATTTAATGACTCAATTTCAGGCCTCTGATGAGGCCATTCAAGATAACTTCTTCATCTCTCTTTTATTCCGTTAGAGGCTTTTTCAGTTTATTTAAAAATTTGTATGGTTGTGGGAAAATATAGAGAACTCACCATTTGTCCAGCCCGCATCATTCACATCTACAATTCAGGGCCACGAATTACATCAGTCATGGTGTGCAATCCTCATCGGGACCCATCACCGTGAACAGAAACTCAACGCTTCCCAAAGAAGCCCCCTGACCCCCTCCACCACACTCCCGGTAACTTCTTTTAAACTTTGATGACTATCTACTTGTCTATTTTAGGTATTTCCACTTCCTATCTGTGGGGTCATACAGCATTTGTCCTTTGTCTCCTTCTGCTTATGCATTTCTTTCTAACCCTCACACGGGACCCTCGGGAATAATAGCATGAGCCTGGGGTTGGGGGTGCGGGGGTGGGGAGAGGACTGGCAGAATATACAGTCTAATCAGCCCACTAAGAAGTGTGGTAGTTCCAAATCCCAACCTGGATGAGCAGACCTGGAAAGTTAGTCGCTGCTTCTCTCATGACCACCTTTCCGTTGAGCTTCTGTTCTGCCTTTGAATGAAATTCACTTAACTCAAGGAGCCTTGGACTCTTAAGTCCCTCTATTGTTGAAAGGTGGTGGTACACAATATTTATGAAATATTTCAGAAACTCTGTCTCTTGAGGGGGCGGGGAGCATGTCGGTTTTTCATTGGGACCACCTGGCCTTCCTTCGCTGACCATGTTAACCATTGTGCTCACAGGCTCTGTACCAGCTGAGGAGGGAACGGGAGAACAAAGCCCCGTCCCCCTCAGGCGGTCATACCAAGACCATAAGTTGGGACTGTCTGATCTACATAGCTGCAAAGCACCTGAATCCAAAGATTTTTTTAGTTTCCACTTGCCCAAGATTTTTTTTCCCCATTCAAAATGTAAAGGCCAATTTTTCATTCACAGGCTAATACTCCTATTGTAAACATGAAAGGGCTTCCAAGAACAACCACTGCTGCCTGGTAATTAGTGTTACTGAGAGTTTAGATGGGTGAAAATGTTCATGGCAACAGGGCTCATCTGACTTGTAAAGACTGAAAATATACGTACCGTCAACGTTGTCCTCCACCATCCCTCTCTTTCAAAAGACGATGACTTCCAGGATGGCTTCTAGTAACAAACAGGGAATATGCTTAATCACTTGAGAGGGGAGCTACTAAAGTTAAATATAATTTACAAAATGCTTACTTGAAGAAATTAATGTTTTCGCTACATTGGTCGGTCTCTATTAAAAGAAAAGCTACAGAATGACCAATTTTATCCCTAGTAATTTTCTTAAATGGCTCTTTTATGATCTTAAGCTGTTTTTTAAATATCTAAATTCCCTTAGGTAAAAGTAAAGTAATAAATATCTTCATCTCCGAGAAATGCTGTAATCTATTAAATGTGGTAGAATTTGAGGTTGTTAGGAAGAAAAAGAGTTGCAGAAATCCAAAATTATGTCATTATACATTAGATTTATGGCTGGGATGATTTGTCTGGGGGGTCAAGGTGAAAAAAGTGTGTAAGTGTTATATTAATGTGATTTTGGGATACAAGTTCTTGGGAATATGGTAACTGCTGAGAACTGCCAGTTCCTGGATTGGCACACACTGTCAAATGTGCTAGCAATCCAGCAATCAATGAGACTAGAGGAGTAGAATACTGGAAGGAGGCAGACAGACCAAGCCTTTAAAGCCCAGGGTTGCCACTGAATCACTGGATGCACTGGACAAGTTATAAGTCTCATAAGCCTATGGGCTCAGCTTCAACATAAGGGTATAAAAATAAGGTTTGGTTGATTTGATTTTTTTGATTATTGCTTCCGTGAGCATTGATTGTGGAGCCAAGCAAAATGAAATCCTTGACTTCAATCTTTTTTTCACTTTATAATGATGTCTATTGGCCCAGTGGAGGTCATGTTTTCCTAACTGAGCTGCTGCAATCCATCCTGTAGGCTGCAGTTTTGATCATCAGCAAGTACTGCAATTCCTCCTCACTTCCAGCAAGCAAGGTGGTGTCATCTGCATATCTCAGATTGTTCATAGCCTCCTCCAGTCCTGATGCCCTGTTCTTCTTTCATATAGTCCAGCTTCTCGTCTTATCATACAAATTAAGTATGATGAAAGTAATCAAGCCCGACACACACTTTTTCTGAAGTTACACCATGCAGTATTTCTTTGTTCTTTGAAGTACACCTGGTCTGTGTACAGGTTACTGGTGAGCAAAATGAAGTGTTCCAGAATTCTCATTCTTCTCAAAGTGACCCATAGTTTGTTATGATGCATATAGCCAAAGGCCTTTGCATAGTCATAAAACACAAGTAAGTGTGTTTCTGGTATTATCTGCTTTCAGTTAAGATCCATCTGATATCCCTCGTGCCACATTCTCTCCTGAATCCAGCTTGAATTTCTGGAAGTTCTCTGTCAATGTACTGCTGCAACAGTTTTTAGATTATCTTCAGGAAAATTTTACTTGTATCTGATATAAATATTGTTCCAAAATTTGCACCTTCTCTTGAGTCACCTTTCTTTGGAATGGGTGCTGTGAATGTCTTCCAGTTAGTTGGCCAGATAGCTATCTTCCAAATTTCTTTGCACAGATGAGCTTGCTGAAACATGTCAACTGGTATCCTATAATTTCCTGAAGCTTGATTTCCACTAAGGCCTTCAGTGTAGCTTAGCCTTCTTTCAAGGCCATTGGTTCTTGATCTCATGGTATTCCTGGAAATGGTTGAATGTCCACCAGTTTTATTTGATACACTCTGGCACTCCATCATTTTTGAAACTTCTTGCGTTGTTGGATGTTCTGCCCGCATAACCCTTTTCCATTGTACCTTGAGGCTTGACTTTTTTCGCTCCATGTCTTTCACCTGCCGAGATGCCACGTGTGCTCTTCCCTTTTGCCTTTCTAACTCAAGGTCTCAGCACAGTTCAGTTTAATGCTTTACTTTGTATCTTGAACAGCTCTTGGGAATCTTCGGTTCTGTTTGTTTTTCCCTGTTCAGCTCTTTTACCTAATGTCTTCCTTTCATTTTATCTATTTTGCGTTCAAGAGCCAAGTTCAATGTCTCTTCGGACATCTGCTTTGGCCTTTTCTTTTTTCTTGTCTTTTTAAAGACCTTTTGGTTTCTTTGCATATGGTGTCATTCAACAAATTGTCTGGTTCTCAGTAATTAATGCTAAACGTGCCAAATCTATTCTTGAAATGCTCTCTCAATTTGGGTGGGATAAATTGATGCCAAATATTGGCTTTCATGGACTTGTTTTAATTTTCTTCAGCACTAACTTGAATTTGCAAATGAGCAATTGATGGTCTATTCCATAGTCAGCTCCTGGCCTTTTTCCTGACTGATGATATTGAACTTCTCGATTGTCTCATTCCACAGATGTAGCCTATTTAAGACCTGTGTATTCCTTCCAGAAGTTCATGTGTATAGTCAATCACCAGAGCTATATAGGCTTTGTAGACATAACCAAACACGTGTAAGTGGTGAGTGGGTTGGCCTGAGGGCCCAGGATGATAGCATTTGGGTAAATTGGCATAACATAGTTTACAAAGACAATGTTCTGGAGGAAAGAAGAGTGACAGAAATGGAAAGACACAGGTAACAATTAGTCCAGTGGCCTAATGGACCATGTAACCTCAGACCAGAAGAACTAGATGGTATCCCACTACCACTACTAACTACTCCAGAAGAACTAGATTGTATCCCACTACTACTACCAACTACTCCAATTTATCCCATTAGAATGTTCTGGGTAGCAAAGAAGAAGAATGTATAACAAAAATAAAAATCATACAAAAGACCAGACTTACTGGTGGAACCCCCAGGACTATGGTTCTAAGCTACCAAATGAGAGGAATATAAGGAGAGCAATCACAGTCGTGAGGTATGCACTTAGACCAACCAACCATGTTCAGATCAAAAGAGCAGTGTTTGTCTCATGACAAAGGCATTCAGAAGGCGTAGAAAGAAAGGAACAATGGAACAGGAAACATAGGTAGGAAGTCAAATAAGGGCTGGTGTGTTGAGAGATTGCACTGAATGAGGTGAAACAAGATGCGTAGAAACTGTTGAATGTAAAACTGATGATCTGCTCGGTAAATACCTAATTTTCTCTCACTCTCTCTCTCTCTCTCTCTCTCACACACACACACACATTTCAAAAAATACTATGGGGTTTAAAACCAGGAAAGGTGTATGTCAGGATGGTGTCCTTTTCCCCTCCGTCAATCTGCATGTTGGCAAATATTCTGAGAAGTGGGGCCATACGAAGAGTCCAGCATCAAGTCTGGAGGAAGGCCAATGCACCACCTGCAATGTTCAGAGGTCACAACTCTGCTTGCTGAAAACTAAGTGGACTTGGAGCACCTACTGATGGAGATCAAGGGCGATGGCTTCAGTAGGGATTATACATCAGCATAAAGAAAAACACAAATCCCCACAACTGGACCAATGAGCAATAAACAGAGAGAAGATTATAGTTATCATGGATTTCAGTTTACTTGGATCCATGGAAGCAGGAGTCAAGACACCAAAAGATGTTGGGCAAATCTGCAAAAGATCTTTTTTATTTCTAAGTGTTCAAAAGCAAAGATGTCACTTTACATTTTGAGGACTGGGGTATGCCTGATTCAAGCCATGTATTTTCCGTTACCTCTTACGCATGCAAAAGCTGGGTGGTGAATAAGGAAGACCTAAGAAGAGTATTTGAAATATTGTGTTGACAAAGAATATTGAATAAAGAGATGGTCTACTGCCAGGAGAACAAACAAATCTGTCTCAGAAAAAAAATACAGCCAGTGTGTTCCTTAGAAGATGGTGAAGCCTCCTCTCACATACTTTAGACATGCTACCTGGAACGATTAATCCTTGAAGAAGGGCATCATGCCTGGTAGAAGGTCAGCAAAGAAGCCCCACAAGACCTCAATGGACACAGTGGCTGCAATATTAAACCGTACTCTAAGAAGTATTGTGGGGATGTACAATGCTTTGTTCTGTTTTACCCAGGCTTGCTATGAATTGGAACCAACCACCTAGCAACATGATTTTTATTCTATCTACCAAGTTAAGAAAGGGATTCTTTCCTGTTTCACAGGAAGGACTAGATAAAATCATTAAAATATTGAGTTCTACTCTCATTAATAACACTTTCATGGTAACTATTGAGTGCCAGTTATTTCAAAAAAGAATGCATCAAAAAAAACAATCAATTCAGAACAATTGATACAATTCTTCCTGCTTAGCAACTTAAATCCACGATAATTATGAACATTTCCTGGGCTTTCTTTTGCTATGAGCTGTTTGCGTTTCTCTGGAAATACTGTTTCTGTTTGGGACACAGCTGCTAAGTCTGGATTGGTTTCTCTCCACTCTCTTCGTTAATGTTGAATCGTCACCGTTGCGAATTTGTAGTTACACAAACGGAACTTTCTTAGACAAGTCAAGGCAGGTCCCCCAGAAGCATTCCAACAGGGTCCCAGGCTAACTGAGGGGCCAGTGGGATGAGGTGGGGGGTACAGGGGAGCAGTCGCCATGGCCTCGCTCAAGGAAATCAATCGCTGTGACATTTGTCCCAAGCAGCTCTAAACCTCACTCCTCTTCCCAATCACTTTAAGAGGGATCCATTTGTTTTGACAAGGTAATTTTGAATATTTTCTAAATTCTCAGCTAGAAGGCTAGGCAGAGTCGTCAGATTGACTGAGGAAAGAAACCCCTATTGTCCTCGGGGGGAAAAGGGAAGTAGGTCACCCAGTCATGGAGAAGAGCAAACACAGGAGCAAATGGCGTGGGGGAAGGAGGCAGCAAGGGGAGGGAAAGTAAGGGGGTGCAGAAGCGCCAAGGGACAGACATTCGGGTGAAGGCCAGAGGGAAAGGCGAGGAGGAGAGGGCGGGGCCGGGGGCAGGAGATCGCTGACTCCTACTGTCCCATCTGCCCAGGGCGACCCTTACAGAGATGGTGGCCATAGTGACGACTGCCTGGTCCATCGGGGTCTCTCACCCGAGCCCGAGCCCCCAGCCGAGCCCCCAGCCGTGAGCAGTTGCTAGGAGACGCCGAGGCCCTGCCAGCGGTTGGGGGAGGGGGCCTGGCACACTCCTCCGGCTCCGGTGGCCCCTCCCGCAGAGAGAGAGAGGGAAGCTGATCGGGCAACTGGGTGCTAAGAAAGCCCAGAAAGGGCTTTGGAGTGGCCAGAGAGCAAGCTGGGTAGGAGGCGCGGTGTGGGGGCGGGGGAGGGAGGAGGGCACCCACACCCTCAGCGCTCTCCAGTCACCTCCCCCACCCCCACCTAGCGTCCAGGCACACCTCCTCCTTAGCATCCACTCGTTAAGGTTGACATGCGTTTTCTGGGAGCGGCTTCTCTTGTGTGCAATCGGTGGCGTGAGTCCTGGCCGCCGCAGGTGTCCCTGGTGTGAAGCCCACCGCCCCATTGCCCCTACAGACAATTCACCTTTCAACCCACCCCTTCTTTTCCACCTACTAACGTTCTCATTAA